GGGGGTGTGTGGGGAGGAGGGAAATCCCATTGAAACTGAAGCAACTGAATTCATATTTCCACAGCAACAAATGCAACAAACCCTTGTTTAATTTTCGTCATGTGGCTGCAGGTTAGGAGTACACTGACATACCGAAGAGGAGGCCTCAAGGGTAATAAAGCCATCAGGATCTTGTAACTACTGCACACATGCACGTACGAGTCCTTGCATTAACCCCCGGGAGCGGCTGCACAGCTGAAGCGGCATCTCCTGTGCCTGGGCTCAGTTTTGCTGCTGCTCCTGGGGGTGAGAGGAGGATCAGTCTTCAAAACATGCGCTTCAGGGAAACCAGTATTTGTCAAACAGTTCAAAAATAAACGAGATACCTGCGTTTCTGTCTGTCCTTTTAACCCTCTCCATCTCCTCACGTATCACCTAGGGGAGGCGTAGGTGGGAAATCTTTCCTTTTCTCCTTTGCTTGCAACAGTTGTCGCTCCAGTAAGAGAAAAAGTACTCAAACTTCACTGTGCTGAACAGATTATTTTATCCTGGTATTCACAGTATGTACCAAGCTTGAAATAGCACATTCCACTGCAAAGTCATCTAATGCAGCATGATTTTTCATTTAGTTTTTCTTCTCTCTACATTTATTTATCTTCTTTTGTAAATACATCATTTGTGTGAAAGTGAAGCAGAACTGCAGAGCATGTTTAATGTTGTTATTCACTCTGTTCTCTGATATTGATGCCAATGTTTTTTATAATGTAGTGATTTTTACCACTCTATATTCATGTCAGTTTTTACAAGCGATCTCATTGATTAAAGACTTGAAACATTTTCACTTAACTACTTTTTTTAAAAAAAAAATCAGATAGTTTTGGGCATTTCTATCTAGATACACCAAAGTTGAAACTCATTAGCATTTTTAAGTACTTAGCAAAGAAGTCTAATTTTACAGTTTTTAAAACAATTCTGTGGACTTTGCATGTCTGACTGGGAGTACATTTTGGCTGAAAATTTAGGGCACAACAATTGCAATTAGACTTTTCAAACTCTTTCCCCCCTTCAATTTCTGCTTTTTGTTGTACATTTGTCTTTCACAATGTCTCTCACCATTCAAAATGAAGTGAAAAATATACAGAGATATGTCTATTTCCTCTCCCATAGAGAAAAAGGAAACGATGTAAACCCAACTCTCTTTCATGAAGAAACATGGAAAAGAATAGGAATGGAAAGTAGGCCAAGTTGTAAAATGACAAAGACCCAAACAACTCATATGCATTTGTGTATGTGTACACATGTATTCATTCACTTATCTATTTATGGATTTTGCTGTAGAGACAGCTTTTTATGAACAGAATTGAGGATCATTGACCGACTGCTTGACATAAGCTACTTGTCTCTGAAATTACTGTACTCCAGCCTGCCTCTGTCCTGCCTGCAGTTTTTCTGTCTAAAAAAACTGAGGTGAACTGAGAGTAAATAGCTTTTAATGATATGTGGGAAATTGTTTTTAAAAAGGATTTTTTAACTCATCATTTTGAAGTAACCAAATAAAGACACTTAATGCAGGAACAGCATGCTTGTCTGGGGCCTACATATGTAGGCATACAGGCCTACATAACAAAACTCCCATTAGTTAAAAAAAAATAAAATCTTATTCTTCCCATGCACCATCTTGTTTTCAGGTCTTTGGCAAGTTTTCCCTTGCTGTGAGGCAGCTGGCAGTATCTGAACTGCTCAGGCAATTCCTAACAATTTGCAGCCTTCTACAAGTCAGATCTTTTCAGTGTACCCAGGGAGATAAACAAAAGATAAACAACACTCCTCCCCATGGATTATAAAAGATTTTGAAGGTGTTTTGGTTTGTTTTCTTTATGGTTCCAGGTCCACTTGAAATCATGGCCCAGCCCTTTTTTCACTTGCTGTCTTTTGTGAAATCAAATTGAGGAAACCTAAAAGTCCGCTAAAGCAGACCTTGTGAGATGTTCTTCTGGACAAAAGGTAGACCCACAAAAATAATATTTAATTTATGTAATATTCATATTTCATTTATGTAAATGTAATGAACATATGTTGGAACAAATAATGATAACTTAGGGCAGCATCACTCAACCAGGCAATGCTTTTTTATAGGTCATGGGACATCAATGAAGTGAAAGTAGTGTATAGGTTTATGAAAACTGTTTGATGTAATACTACAACTCATCTACCAATCTCCATCTCTGACCCTGACATTGCTTTAAAGAACACAAACAGATAAGAGTCAGGAGGTTAAAAACACCCATGATGTAAAGTTGTGATTACTAAAGACTTTTGACGGTAATTTTTAGGTGTTCCAACTGGTGACTACTAACTTGAATCACTTGTCAAAAGAAAACACATGAATCCTAGGCAAGGGTTACTTTTTCTGCAAGATTGTCCCATTGGTTTCTCAATAATTCTTAGTCAATGACCTCACTTTGAATGATAAATAATGTCTGGGATTTTCTAATTCTTTTTCTTTAAAGTAATACAGAGTGACTTACAGAATGTAAAGTTTTATGTACATGAGTGTATAAGAAATTTTTATCCACTAGTTACCAAAAATTTGAGTAACTTGCCAAATAATTTCCTACTGAGACTGCTTATATGGATATGTTTTTAAAAAACCCAAATAGCCAGTGGAATATCCTCATTATATTTTTTTTTAGGTAAGAACCTAATTCTGAATTTTAAGCTTAATATCCAAAACCACTATGATGCACATGCACTCACACACACATACCACACACAAATGGTATCAAGCATATAAAAAGAAACAGTTATGATAGAAATATAAACCCCTCAGTTTCTTCTCTGAATTTTTTCCATATAAAAAATGCTTTATTTAATCTGTGTGAATTATTAGGAATTCCAGTCAACTGACTGCACTTAGGTTATTGATGAATAATTTGATTCACACATTTCTTGATGTCACTTTGTAGCAATGGCATATAAGCAGTTTGATATTATTTATCTATTCTGATCAGGTAAATATGACTTTCAGGATTAAATTCTGGATGCAGAGAAGGAGATGTTCCAAGTTTGTGTTGCACTAGCTTTTGGATGCAGACTGACTTTTGCTATTTTGGATGCAGACTGACTTTTGCTATTTTGCCCCAGCAATTAATTTGGCTAAAATGTAGGAAATAGCTTATAAATACCTAAAACTAAATCTGCAGAAATTCTAGTGAGAGGCTGTCTCATGGCTAGTCTAGCTAGGGAAGGCTTCTATGGACGTTCTGCATTAAATCAGAGGTCATGAAAAAAAATGAGAAAAAAGTAGTTTATCTCCTTCGTGGCACCCATGGTGTCTGGGCACTGGGTAAAACACCTTGTTTGCAATGTTGTGCATACATAGATCAGCCAGAAAACTATTTTCTACAAACTGTTGCACTTTTCTGGCAAGAGAGGTTAAAGTCCTTTAGTCATCCTACCACAGGCCAGCTGCTTTCTCAGTTTGCCTAGCTGGAAAATAATACAAAAACATTTTGACTTACTGTGCTATGACAAAGCTGAAAGCATGTTGCAGAAAGCAAGTTCCTGTGTGGACAGTTAATATAAAAAACCCCTTCTGCTTCACAGCATTGCTAAGCCCAGGTAGGGGTATTTCTGTGACCAGCCATGGAAATAAAGGGTTTTCAATGTCTATTGCAGTGAGCTATAGCTTAGAAGGGACTTTAAAAAATGTAAATTACCCCCTTAGTGCTGGCTCCAGGCATCTAAACCAGGATAAGCTGTTTAAATCTCTTTGTATTTTTCAGACACTGTGTCTCTCCAGGCCCAGAAACAGAAAAGAACACCACTAACCATATGATATGCCCTTTACTGCAGTCCCTGAGGGCTGAAGGCACTGATGGAGTGAGACTCCAGCCCTCACCCCCATCAGGTTTACTTGTTGAAGTTGTTGCTACCTTATGCTGATAAAGGAAAAGGTGATTTCCTCAGACATTTACTTTTAAAGCAATTTAAACATAATAGCACTTTCAAATACATATTCAAGAATCTCATGTGAGGTTTGAGACAGTAGCAAAAGATTATCATTAATGTCTGGGTCTGTCATACAGGTTAAGTGCCAGGATTCACATGAAACTCCCCCTTCTCCCTGAACTAATGCATGACTTTCTAGGCACAAGCATTACTACATGTGATAGGGAGAAAAGTAGGCAGTACTGATGGAGAAAAAGGGAGATCCAGACCCAGACTAGAGCCATCATAGTTACAGCCAGTTGCACAACTCAGAGAAAAAGTGCCTGGAGGACAACAACCAGCAATAATTAGTGTATATAGGTTTTCTTCCTTATCAAGTGCAACAGTGGATTTTCTCTTTGACAGTAGATAGATAGACTGGATGTTGAAAGAAGCTTACTGCTAACCCAAAACTGGAGGAGCCCCTGGTGCTTCAAATTCCTAATCTTCTGAGGTTTTATGGAGACTTTTTACTTCTGTGAATATATTTGGCTCTTAATACTTGAATCTTGAGTGCCATTCTTTCATCTTTTCAAAAATGCTAACGAAAAATAGGAATAGACATTGGACCCAGACCAGAGTAAGTCAAGGGCTCAGTTTTCTCTGGTCATCAGTCCCATGAAGTGGGAGGCCAAAACTGGGGGACAAACATTCCAGAACTGTGCTTGCTAAAGGAACATGGCCTGGACTGCAGGCAGGGGAGAAAGACAGCAGCCTGGAATTCTTAGGAAGAGAGCAAGAGGGGTTTTACTGATGGCAGATTGATAAATGCTGTTAGAACAGGAGGACACATTTCTCTTTACCAATTAAAATTGTTTTTCACGTTTAGGCTATTCAGTTCTGCACTGGTTCTTACAAAAATAAAACAGTTTTCCCAGCTGCTTTTGTCAGGAAATCTGTCCTTGCCTTTTGTCCTGGGGCATTTCCGATTTCAGCAGTATTATTTGTATTAATAATTATTATTATTCTTATATTGTTGACAGTAATACCAAGAGTGCTTGTTTCAGGTTTCTACTGTTTTCTCAGAGGTCAAGAGACAGGACTCTGGGACTTCAGTCAATTCTAGACAGCCTGAGGCTTGCACAGAGATCTGGAATCAGGTAAGCTGCTGCTGGAAATCAGCTTTGCCTGAGCTTTAGTGTCTGATAGTGTCGGGTTTCCCACTGGCCAAATGCCAGGCATCCACTAATGTCACTCACTTATCCTCCCCTGCCACAGATGGGCAGAGGAGAGAAAAAATTAACTCTCATGAGTTGAGACAAGGGCTGTGAGAGCACACTCCAAGGGCAAAACAGGCTCAGCTTAGAGGTACAAAGTGAATGTATTACTAACAAAATCAGAGGAGGATAACGAGAAGTAAAATAAGCCCTTAAAACACCTTTTCTTCTTCCAGCCCCTCCC